TTCTTTGCTTACCCAAAATGCGAACTTTGATCTCGTATTTGACCACCTTCACCAAGTTGCTTGGTTGCCTAACAACTCATGTGAAAACGCGCTTATTGCGTTCTTCCCAGACGTGATAAATAACAGCACGCACCACAGCCCACAATATTTTCTGCTTCAGCCTGGCTCCCTTCCAAAAGTGTAGTAACTGAGACTACCAGCCTTCCATCCTTCAAGACACTCTTCTACACCCCAACCATGTCTGGACTTGTTGAGGGTCTTCAAAGGCATAACTACACTGAAAGAACAAATGTACCACTGATTCATCAGCTGAGGAGCATAGAATACACTGACTATCTGGCACCAACACACCCATAGCCATCAACCTGACCCTAGTAAGGATACGTTGCTTCCAAAGCAACCAACTTACAAAGGAATGCTTCGGTACATTCAATGAAGACTAGACACATTGGGCACCAATCATAACCAGAAGTAATAGAATAGCTCCCATTTCTTGAAGCCTTCCATTTATTCCCTGCAAACCCCTCACTGACCATATCCCTGACTTTCAAATTTGTTTCCAATGCCAGCAACTGTCTAATCTAGGCTGCACAGACCATATACTTTCTTTCTTTAAGTACACAGAATGAATCCATCGAATCTAGAGATTGTCAGTTTTCAGGGCCAAACTCCACACTTGTTTAAAAATCGCAGCTCTATTCCATATCTTAATATCCTTTATGCCTAAGCCACCCTCTGATCTGTTTTGGCAAATATCATCCCATTTGACTAGAGAAATTGCTCTACCACTACTTTTAACCCCCCATAAAAACTCACGGCAAATTATGTTAACAGTATTTAGTATACTTTGTGGTAGTATAAACACAGAACTCCAATAAACATGCACAGATAACAGAACAGAATTAATTAGTTGCAACCTACCAACATAGGATAGGTGCCTTGAACTCCAACACCGAATTCTGGTCACCATTTTATTAATAGCTTCCTGGCACTCTATCTTGGACCATTTCTTAGGTGGCAGGAATGTACAAAGGTATTTCATCGGGAATCATTTATTATTGTTGTTGTTGTTGTTGTTTGCATCTTCAAGATATCATGTTACTAAATTGCATGTTTTTCGGCTGCAAGAACACATCTATAGAATTAACATTTACACTAAACTTAAAATTCAGCCGAGGACCATTGGAATTTGATTGAAAGTGAGGGGAAAAACAACAATTTATGAGACCCATGAATATGATTTTCACAATTATTTAGAAGAATAAAAAATCTAAATAAAAAAATTTAAAAATTCTGATTTGTTTTACATCACTTAAACAAATCTTAATTTATTTTTTTTTTAACTTTAGTTTGTTACATGTTTTATTACGAATGTATTACGTATAATATAATTAAGCAAACTTAGAATTTGATCAGGAGAAAACACTGTCTTAGTTAAGTCATTTTAAATAATTTGATTGCATATCAATTTAATTAGTAAACTAGAATGGCTAATTATATTGCATTGCCACGTGTCAATAAGAAAAACAAATACATTTGAAGGGGCTGCCTATCTTATATATATATATATATATATATATATATATATATATATATTTACATACATACATACCGACTGCGTTGCACGGATTTGTAAATATTATTATGTATAATTTTTAGTTATATTGATTTGTGCTGAGGCATGTCAAATTTGTCATTGTGAACCTCAATATGAATATTTGCACCTTCAAAATTTTCAATTATGTAAGGATCATTGATGGTTTTTGACAATCATACATAGTATAGCCTATGTAAAAATTGTAATCACTCACAACGAATTTAAATATGAGTCGCTTCTGCACAAGACTTTGATACAAGTATCAGGGAATGTCATCATTGATGGGTGTCAAAACTACCAAAATAAACCTACTTAAAACTTGTAGTAAGTGATAATAAGGGTCGATCCCACAGAGACGGGAAACACTTGATGAAAATTGGGATCTAGTAGCAGAACACAGAACAAAAGCAAAAACAACAAATTGACAAGTGAGTTTATGACTTGGCAAAGTGATAGTGGCCTAGGGTCGTTCTCCACTCTACTCTATATGCATATATATTGATTCTTTTAGCTCTCTATGTGATATGAAACTGTATTCAATCAGGCACATACATATTGTAAGGTCACTTCCGATGTTCCAGACAGCAGTCCTAATAGTAACCAGTAAACTAACTTCCGTTGTCGACTCGAAATTACTACTAAGCCATTACGATGTTCGGCCCTTATTATTGCCTCGTGCCAAATAACTAACTTCCGTTGTTGTTTGAAAACTTGGGCTGTTACCCCTTCGGCACCGGTTAATCCTAGATGTTCAAGTTTACCTTTCCGAGATTCCCCTAACATGCAAGCACAATTAGTTTGAATGACATGTTCAACCTAAAAGGATAATTGAAACTCTAGAATTAAGCATACAAATATCATCCGAGAGCATGAATCAAAACATAATTATATAGAATAGTGGGATTAGACCATAGCAATGAGTTTAGCTACACATGGATTGGAGCTCAAACACCACAAAGTTCAGGTGTTGAGACTCCATCCTGATTACAACAGAAAGAGAAGAAAACATGGAAAGACTAAAGTCAGGAAGTGTGGTAAAGTGCAGTTGACTTTGGAGAGTCAGCTTCTCACTTTCCAAAGTGACATCCCTGAGTCTACCTTCCAGAGTTACACTCTGTTTCTTCCTAACTGAACTAAAATACACTAACTATTCTACTTCTAAGTGTTTTTGTTCTTCGATGCCTTCATCTTCAGCTGTTGCTGTCTTTCATAGAGGTTAGGGGGAGAGATCTTGCTTAGCCATGTTGGTCTCCTCTTTACCCCATGGATTTTTTATGCAAAATAGAGGAGACCCATACTTTTCCTAAATTCCCACTTACCTTTAATCATCATTTGGAGAGATTTAGTTGATAAATTCAGTTTTAAGGCACATCAATCTTCTCCCAGTGTTAGCAGTATCACTTCACCAACGGCTCTTCTTCCTTAGCTTTGAAGGATTGCTCCAATTTGGCCTTCTTCCCGCCGGATTCTTCCTCTTCTCAGCTCTTGCACTTCAGTCCCTGTAACTTCTTCTAATTTGGCCCGCAAATTCACCGTTCTTTCACATTTTGCCCCCTTTTATGCTCGTATTGCAATTCAGCTCCTGGATTACCATAAGTCACCAAATTAGCCTATAAACATATAATTCTAACCTAATTGACTTATAATTAAATTATAAAGAGGTAAATTGATGGTTAAAAACATAGTACGAAATGCACTCATCAACTCCCCTGAACTTGAAGAGTTGCTTGTCCTCAAGCAAAACAACATCTACCCTCCCATACATACTGAAAACAAGAAATACGGCAAAGGAAACAGTCAAGAATTTTTGTCTCAGGAACTGATCTCATCATAGGCTGATGCATACACAAAAGTTTAGAACCACTTGAACAAGTTAGAAACTCACTTCCCCAAGTGCATGGATGACAGTCACAGAACAAGGTGTTAATTTCCTTTTTAAGTTAAGTTCAAATAAGCACATTGGACATTCCTGGAGCTATACCTATTTCCATCAAGTCTGCAACTAGGGTATTCTAACTAGAATTCTGACTAAGGGCTTTCTCACTATTCTGCAAGCACATTGGCTGCATCATTCACCCTCACACCCTTTCCTTCTGTCCATTTTGTCTTTTCTTCTGGATCTTTCCCACTCAGGCCTTAACCAAGCACATTTTTCAGCATTATTTGGCATTCTAAGCATTTGTATTTTTCATCTCACCAGGCCTAAGGACACTTCTCTCTTTGGTTGCCATACCTCACCTCTCAAGGGTTTATAATGCCTTATTAGACATTCTGGCTATACTCCCTCAATTAGCTAACAGAGAACCTTAGATTGATCATCTAACTTCCCCTTTTCCCCAGGTATTTCAGGCTATTCCAAACCACTATGGGCTTGAATCGAGGATGCCTTAATACCTAGGGTTTGCCTTATTCTCTATCCAAGTTTACAGTCCCCCCCCCAGGTTAACAAACAAATGAGCTCCAGTACAGATCACAACAATGCAAGAAATTTTTCAATTTGAACCATTTTAAGTCCCGGAACACACTTTGTCAAGCGACTTTGTGACATGAGGAAGTGGAAGTAATTTTGAGATGATCATGATAGTTCTAAACAAGTGTTCAACCAAATTTTGAGGCTCAGTTTGTTTTCATCATTGACAATTGACTATCTACTGAGCATGCATTTCCTAGTTTCCTAGACACAGAAAGACAGAAGACTGACTCGATCACAGAGAGGGATACAAAAACCTAGCAACAAGCAAAAACAAAGAAAAACAGGGCAAGAGTCCAAAACCAACGACTCGAAAGGCAGAAAAATAGAGACACAAAGGTAGAGAAACAGGGACACATACTGACTCTAAAGACTACTCCTAAATAGGCAGAATACTCTTCACACCTTCCCCCAAACTTAAAATCCAACATTGCCCTCAATGCTAAGTAAAAAGAAAATGGAAGAGGAGATGAAGAGAATTGACAGGCACATACAAACAGAAAAAGAAACAAAACTAAAAACAGAAGAAGAAAAAGAGAAGAAAAAGAAAAATAAGGACTCCTCTGATCTTTGGAATCTGATGACTAGTAATTTGGTGGTGGTCCTTGCAAGGAACAAGGCAGTGACAGATGGGATCCTTCATCATGAGGTCCAAAATTGACACCAAACTGCTCCATCAATCTTGTTAAGAGGCTGGGAAAGAACCAACTCCTTTCCTTCTCATCCACAACATAGACATCCATTTGTTGACGGATTATGGTGGCTACATCAATGGTGATGTTGTTGATGATGGCAAATAGCAACAAGGCCTTGTCGACAGACACAAACTGGCAAGATTTGACAGGCATTATGTTGGTGCAGATCAGATTGAACCACCCCCTATGGTGATCCTTCAAATATTTGGCCAGGAACTCCTCCGGACAACCATATTTGTCAAGGCTCCATTCAAATGTTGTGCGATTCCGACAGAGAGCTTTCTTTATGGTATCTGAAAGCCTTGTTTTTACAGGAACACGATCAATGGCTTCCTCCCAATTGTTTTCAACTTCGGGCAATCCCAACACCTCTCTAATAGCTTGTTTGCTGATCTCCATTGTCACTCCTCGAACATACACAAACTGCCCCATGACAACGGTCAAATAGGCGTAGAGCTCTTGCACAACCCTCATCCTTGGTGGAGTGGTTGGGTTGCAGAGACCTCTCCATTGCTTATCATCAATGTACGTCGATGGGCGGTCTTGGTTGAAACACTTTCGCTCGATGATGGGGATTCTGTTCCAGTGCCTCTGAAAGAATTCCCATCCGAACTCGGTGATGAAGATTCGGCTATCTCTGGGATTGTGGAGGCGCGTTCTCACTTCATGCCTCTCATCCCTATTGAGATTAGGGCTTGGTACAATCACATGGTCTCCCAATCTCTCGGCAGAACTACACTTCCCTGCTTGCAAAGTTCTGCGCCTTGGTGTTTCTCTTACCTTTGAATTCATGGTGAAGCAAGTGCTTTGAAAACTTGAAGAAAGAAAATGGAGATGTATTGTGCTAAGGAGACGAAGGCAAATGGTTTCTGAGAGAAGGAAGGCAAAAGGGAAAAGACGGATTGTGGGGTTGGAGTATTTATTGGGGCAAAGACATCAACTCCCCATGTCCTGTCGTTCCAAATTCTTAACTGCAGAACAGTTGTTTTCTTCCCCCAAACTTAAAGTGAAGACCGGTTCCCCAAAGTCAAGGTCTGACTTACTTTCATTTTGAAAAATCAAAATGACTTTTTTAAGTCAGAAACTGACTTTTGGAAGTGGTCATCCATTCTTTAGAGTGCTGACCATGTTTCCTTCCAGCACATTAGTTGGATACTGGTCATTACTCCTCCTGGATTCTTGCTCTCCATCTTGGTTGGAAAAACTACATGCACCATACAAAATACTACAAGAGATAGGGTTAGAACAAAAATGCTTGGGTTGCCTCCCAAGTAGCACAACAGTTTATAGTCTTATGCCAGACTATGCTGAAGGTATCACTCAAGATCATGGAGCAACAGAACATGACTGTCTTGCTCTCCTTCAGAGTGTACTCCCAAATAAGGCTTCAGCCTTTGTCCATTCACCAGAAATGTGCTCCCTGTCTGAAGGTTCATCAACTCCACTGCCCCTTGGCTCAGAATCTTGCTGATCCTGTAAGGGCCTCCCCATCTGGATTTCAGCTTCCCAGGGGAGAGCTTCAGCCTGGAGTTAGAGTAGGACCAACTATCCTACCTCCAACTGCTTCTTGACCAGCTTCTTGTCATGGAATCCTTTTGAATTCTCCTTGTGGATTCTGGAAGACTCATAAGCTTCCTGCCTGAATTCCTCCAATTCAGTCAGTTGCAGAAGTCTATGCTCCCTGCTGAGTTTTGGGTCCAAATTCAATTCCCTCAAGGCCCAATATACCTTGTGTTCTAACTCAATAGGAAGGTGGCATGCTTTTCCATACACCAATTTTAATGGAGACATGCCAATTGGAGTCCTGAAAGCAGTCCTATATGCCCAGAGAGCATCATCAAGCTTAGCAGACCATTAAGTTCTTGAACTGCTGACTACCTTTTCTAATATCCTCTTGATCTCTCTGTTTGATACCTCTTCTTGACCATTGGACTGTGGATGATAAGGTGTAGAAACTTTGTGCTTGATGCCAAACTTAGCCATCAGCTTAGTGAAAGCTCTATTGGAGAAGTGAAAACTCTCATCGCTGATTATGGCTCTTGGAGTACCAAAACAAGAGAAGATGTTCTTTTTCAAGATCCTGATCATTGTTTTAACATCACTGGAATGAACTGCTACAGCTTCTACCCACTTAGAAACATAATCAACTGTATGTAAAATGTGTGTGTGACCATAAGATGACTCAAAGGGTCCCATGAAGTCTATGCCCCACACATCAAAGAGTTCTACTTCTAGGATCATTTCCTATGGCATTTCATTCCTCCAGGAGATATTTCTTATCCTCTGACATCTATCACAGCTAAGCACATAATTTCTAGCATCCTTATGTAAAGTAGGCCAAAAGAAACCAGATTGTAGTACCTTAGCAGCAGTTCTTTGGCCTCCATAATGTCCTCCATGGGGTGAGCTGTGGCATTTCTCCAAAATTGCAGATGCCTCTGATTCTGGTACACATTGTCTGATCAGCTGATCCACACACATTTTGAATAAGAAGGATGAACTTCTTCTTCTGCTGCCAGCTAAGTCCTTCAGGTATGATCCTAGAGACAACATAGTTAGCATAATCAGCAAACCATGGCCTCTGTTCGAACACTCTAGCAAGTGACTCTGTCACATGCCAAAGTCGCTCATCAAGAAATGCTTCAGCAATTGGCTCAGGATCTTCTTATGAATTTTTTAGCCTTGACAAATGATTTGCTACTTAGTTTTGGATGCCTTTCCTGTCCCTAATCTCCAGGTCAAATTCTTGTAGCAGCAAAACCCACCTAATCAACTTTGGCTTTGAATATTTTTTTGTAACCAGATACTTAATAGCTGCATGATCAGCGTATACTATGACTTTCATTCCCAACAAGTAGGATATGAACTTGTCAAAAGCAAACACTACAGCCAACATCTCTTTCTCAGTAGTTGAATATTTGATCTGGGCTGCATTCAAAGTCTTGCTTGCATAGTAGAAAACATGCAACACTCTGTTTCTCCTCTGACCTAGTAGAACTCCCACTGCAAAATTACTCGCATCAGTCATTATTTCGAATGGCTGAGTCCAACCAAGTGTGGCTATCACATGGGCAGAAATAAGCTTCCCCTTGAGCTCCTCAAATGCCTATACAAAGGACTCATCAAAGATGAATGCAACATCTTTCTCTAGAAGGTTACACAAGGGCTTAGATATTGTAGAAAAGTCCTTGATGAATCTTCTGTAAAAACCTGCATGGCCAAGAAAACTTCCCACTCCACGAAGTGTTGTTGGTGGACTGAGCTTTTCTATCACCTATACCTTGGCTCTATCAACTTCAATGTCCTTTTCTGAAATTCTGTGGCCTAGAACAATGCCCTCTGACGCCATGAAATGAGATTTTTCCCAATTCAAGAACAGATTAGTCTCAATACACTTCTACAACACCTTACTCAGGTTTTCCAAACATTCTTCATAAGTCTTCCCAAACACAAAGAAGTCATCCATGAAAATCTCAATGATGTCCTCAGCCATGTCTGAGAAGATGGCCATCATGTACCTCTGGAATGTTGCTGGTGCATTACACAGGCCAAATGACATTCTTTTGAAAGCAAAAGTGTCATAAGGACATGTGAATGTGGTCTTCTCTTGGTCTTCTGTAGCAACAACAAGTTGATTGTAACCTCAATATCCATCCAGGAAAAAATAGTAGCTATATCCAGCTAGTCCGTCCAAAATCTGATCAATGAATGGCAATGGGAAATGATCCTTCCTGGTGGCCTTATTGAGTTTCCTGTAATCCATGCAAACTCTCCAAGCATTAACCACTCTGGTGGGAATGAGTTCATCTTGGTCATTCTTTACCACCGTCATCCCTCCTTTCTTTGGAACACATTGGACTGGTCTCACCCAAGTATTATCATATATAGGGTATAGGATCCCTGCGTCCAATAAATTGATGACCTCTTTCTTGACTACTTCCTTCATGGTTGGATTTAACCTCCTTTGACCTTCTATTCTTACTTTTGCATCTTCTTCAAGCAGGATCTTGTGAGTGCAGATGGAAGGGCTGATGCCTTTGATATCAGCTTTGGTCCAACCAATAGCTTCCTTGTGCATCCTCAGAACTCTCATCAGCTTGTCTTGCTTTGTCTCAGTCAGTGATGCTTAGATAATCACAGGCAAAGTGTCTTTATCTCTCAGATACACATATTTGAGATGTGTAGACAGTGGTTTCAACTCCAGATTGGTGGTTCTTCCAAAGGTTTATAAGTTTTGCCTTCCTTGGCTAGATCCAACAGCCCTGCTGGTTGACTTATGTGAGGCCACTTTGGTGAGTGATCTAAGTAACTTAGCCATGTCATGGCTGAGTCCTCATCTGTATGTCCTATATACATTTCAACATCAATTAGTATTTTAAGCAATTCATCAGACTCTATTACCTCTGCAAAGACTTGCTCAATAGTCCTCCTCCACAACATCTATCTTGAAGCACTTTTGCATTTCTGCAGGTAATTTCATGATGTTGAAGATGTTGAATGTCACATTCTCCTCATCAAACTGCAAAGTAACAACCACTTTCCTTACTTCTATGATAGCATCACAGGTTGCTAAGAAAGGTCTGCCCAAAATGATAGGGACATCCTTATCCTCTTCCATATATAAGACAACAAAGTCAGCTGGATAAATGAATGATCCAACTTTGACTAAGATATCATTCAGAATGCCCTTTGGATATGTAAAGTATCTATCAACTAGCTGCAAGGTAATGTTAGTAGGTACAAGTATATCACTGACTCCAAGTGCATTAAAAAAGATAAAGGCATCAAGTTAATACTTGCTCCTAAATCTAGCAAAGCTTTCTTAAATTTAGTATTACCGATAGTACAGGGAATTATAAAACTCCCTGGATCCTTAAGCTTTGCTGGCAGCTTCTTCAGAAGGGCTACACTGCACTCTTCATTCAAAGTCATGAATGATGAATCATGAACCCTTTGGCATTTGCTTCAGAGCATGAATTAATGGAATATTGATGTGTAAGCTTTCCAGATTGCTCATGAATCTATTGATGGCTGCTTTTGAAGTCTTTTTTCTGACTTGTCTGAGTGGATAAGGGGGTATTGGTACCTTAGGCTGATCTTGAGGAGATGGAGATTGAGCCTCCCTTGTCAAGCCTAGTTTTGTTGTGGAATGCTCCTTAGGATCCACTGCATCTTCTTTTTCTTCAGTGAGGTCAATGACATTTTTAGCTTCCTCAGGTACAGCTGCAAGTGCTGGAATATGAATCTCACTTGTGGGAGTGAGTTTCTTTTCACTGCGAATTGATACAACCTTAGCTTGCTCTTGCTGAAATGGCCTTGGATTTTCCACAGTATCATTTGGCAAACTTCCTGCCAAACGTTCTGCACATAGCTTCTCATTCTGACTCAACCTTGTCTCCATTTGACGTTGGCCGGCTGGTAAAGACTTGATCATAGTCTTTAACTCCACCACATCACTTTCTTTTAAGCTCCATTTTGATTTCTGAAAACTAGGTGGTTGGTCAAGCCTTTGGTAGCTGCGTTGTTGCTGATTGCTATTCCAGTTGCCTTGCTGCCTTCTCCAGTTGTTGTAAGGATTGAAACCACCGAAATTGTTCTGACGAACAAATTGAGCTGACTCCATCTACTCAGGACAGTTATCAATGTTATGTGGACCAGAGCATGACTCACACAAGTCAATTTGTGACTTGACAATGCGAGCTTCAACTTTAGCCATCTGATTTAAGGGCTGGGAGAGTTGGGCTTGCATATGAGTAGCTGTATCAACTTCAAATACGCCGGCCTTCTTGGTC